GGCGGGTCTCGAACCCGCGAGCTCAGGCAATCCACTCACCTCAGCCTCCCAAAGGTGCGGTATTACAGGCTGAGCCACCAAGCCCGGCTAAAGCAGTATTTTTTTAACGCAAGCTGGATGTCACTCTCCTGCTTACAACTGTCCAATAACTTCCTACAGAAAAGAAAATTAATTCCTGATTTCTTACCATGATATACAACATCTCATGCTTCTCCAGTCTATTTCTATAACACTCTCTTTCTCATCCATCAAACCCTAGACACATTGCCCACTTCCAGCCTCTAGGACAGGTCAAGTTCATTTCTTCCTCGGACCCTTTGCACTACCCATTTCCTCTGCCTGAAAAGCTCTTGCCCTAGAACCTATGGCCTAGATAACTGGCTGCTTCTCATCTTTCAATCAATGTCTCCTCTCAGACAGGATTTCCCAGACCCTGACACCAGTTCATCTAAAGTAGCCCCACCTCAATGACTCTCAATTAGCATTACCCCGTTTCACTCTATTCGAGACAATTGCCATTAACTTAATCATCTTGTTCGTTTATTCATGCTGATTGTCTCCCCTTCTAAGTGCTCTAAGGCATGGTCCTTGTTTGTCGTCAGCTGTTGTGTCTATCACATAGCAGGTGATAAATTAACATTTGTGGAAAGAAGGGAAAAACCTGGTTTCCTCGCCAAGCTTGTAAAGACTCCCCAGCATTCGTCTGATGTTTCAATATCGTTAATTCTCTAGTGTGTCACACTTCTCTCCCTCCTTTTCATCCTCCAGCCAGGTCCCCATCTAGGACACAGTGCTAAGTTTGCTCAGATCCTTGCAAAAATTTAACTGTGGGAGGATCAAGACTGGACCTTGCACAGCCTTGGCGCTGCTAAGCCATGCTCCCAAGCCGGTCACCCGTAGGCAGCGAGAAGCACCACGTTTCCACAGCCACCGTCAAGCCTGGCCCGCCAGCATAGGAGGGAGGAGGGGGAGGGCAGAGCAGCTTACCAGTTCATCCGGACTGAGGACTCCGAACTGCACTCTCTTGATGGTGCGCAGCGGGCATGCGCTGTCCCCGGAGGGGGGACCGCCCCCGTGCATCGCGGAGGCAGGCGCGCTGCGCAGGCGCAAACCTCACTACAAAAAGCCTGCGCCGCCTCCGCCTAGGTGCTCAGACCCAGTCAGGGCGGCCACCAGGAAAGACCTCCCTGAGTTGGGAGGAAAAAGCCGGAGGAGGGGAAGATGGGGGAGGGAAGGAGGCGGGGAAATAAAAAGGAGCGAAAGGAGCGCTTCTCCCCCTTCCCGAAGATTTTTTTCGGCTCCCAAAAAGAAAAAAAAGAAGGGATAAAGGAAAAGGTTTGGGGGGTAGGAAGAAGAAAAAGGGTAACGAATAAATAAGTAACCGGGCTCCTGAACGGCAGAGGTTACGGCAGTTAGTCTCTCCCCCTTCCGGGAGCAGCCTTCTTCTCCAACCGTCCCAGCCGCGCTCTCGGCGCTTCTGAGGAGCGAACTCGCCGAATGACGCCCTTTATAGACTCGCCCCCCATGTCTCCGCCCCTTCCTTTCCCGCCCTCCATTGCGCTACGGGGCCGCCTGCGCAGGCCTGCACGGGGCGCGCGCTGGAGTCGTTGATCCTCTCCCAGGCTCCCTGGTTAGGCGACCTTTTGAAATAACTGGGGGAGAAGGATTTTTTAATCCCGCCGCCACTCCTCGCTGCTCCCTCCTGTTTAAGGTTTGAAGGATCGAGGGTAAAATTAGGCGGCTTTTATTCTAGTTTGGAGTGTGGTTTCATCTTCAGCAACAGTCTCTCGTTGATTTACCCCCCCCCCCCCCCGGGAAAA